ATATTATGTTTAATTAATCAATATTTGGCGAGTGAACCAATAAAATATAATAGTGTGAAAAATGATTAATTTATTTTAAGAGCAAATTTTGATAGACTTATTTAATTCAATAATTTATATTCTATATTAAATATTAATAATATAATCATTAAATTAAAAGAATTTAAATATATAGATGGAGTCTATAAATTATTTAAAAATTTGAAAATTATATGATATCTCGTTATATAAATTCAAATCAACATATAATTTTTTTATGATTATTTATTAATTTGAATTAATGAAATAAGATATCAAATAATAGTTTTTTCAAATTTTGCTTAAAATTTATAGACTTCATTTATGCATTAAGAACATTTAATTTAATGGTTAAATCATCAAAATTTGATATAAAATAATTTATTAAAAAAGAAAATAGTCATACCAATCATATTAAAACAATTTATTATTAAGTCAATGACAATAAAAATATTAAATTTTTTAATAAAATATTTATAAAAGTTTTCCAATGAGACTTGATCACTAATGAAAAATATCTTTTAAAATTTGTTGTTTTAGACTTTTAAAATTGATTATTATTTTTATTATTTTAAGAGAGATAATGTTGTATGGGTGAACTTTTTAAAAATTGGATGTACAATAATTTAAAAAAGTTCATAATTGAAATAAGTTATTCATAACTGATTTTGTACGTGCTTATCGTATAAAATCGATTATGAATTTCTAAACTTAAATGTTGTTACCCCTCCTATGAATAGACTCAAAATAAAGGCGAATTGCAAATTCTCAACATCATACAATTTAACACCTTGATTTTCACAAATTATATGAAGGCTCAAAGCTTAATATTTTGAATTTTAGTAGCCTAGAATGGGTTGTTCTCAAATTGGAATGGGCCGTTCCAAATTACTAAAAAGGCCTATAAACCCTAGTTGGGAACGGGCAGTTCCAGATGCAAATTTTACACATGACGAACGAGTCTAGAACAGGCCGTTCCAGATCTGAAACGGGCCATTCTGGCCATTTTTGACATCTATAAATAGCAGACTTTGGCACTACTTCTGGACACACTCTTTGAAGACCAAGGAGAACTAAGAGAAGGAGATCAACCAGATTCTGCTCTAGCTTCATCTTCTGCTTATCCAGGTAAGGGGGGAGTGAGAAATCTCGCTTAGGGGTGTGAGAATAATTGTTGGGTAGAAAGATTGGTCCCCAATCCCTTG